TTTGACAAGCATTGGTGGATTCAACAAGGCCCGGAACAGGAGCATATAGCTGCTGCTCGCATTCTTCATCCCCTACCTGCCAGAGCCAATGGCTGTAGGAAACCCAGAGAAATCACACACAAGCGGAACCACGGAGCTAACGGCACAGCAAGAGAGCTGGTCCATTTCGAACGTGTGGAGATTAATGATACTAACCTGACAGCGTCCCAGCCAACACAACCCGATCCCTCCCTATTTGGAACGCAAACTTTGGATAAAGTTCACGAATCTGGTCAGCAGAATTCTGCAGCGGCTACTGTGCCCTACCATCATCACCACACACCAGCCAGAAGTTGGGGATATGCTGGTATGAGCCCATACAAGTAATGGCTAAGACGACGTAGCAGAATTTTAAAAAGTATCTTTGCTTAGATCTTGCAAATCTCTTTTAATCTTAAAGTAAAACTTCAACATAAAAATCTAATATGTTTATTTTAAATTTGGTTCGACTAATGAACACAGTCATTACATTTAAAAGTGTATTCATTAAAAATTATATTTTTTATGAGTTGTGACTATTACAAATATGTGAACGAAGAGAACTTTGGACTGCAAACACCCTGTCACAATTTAGACAGGGGAACATCCCGCGGCGATTTTTTTTCTCCCTTGGTAGCTGCCTGTGGGCTTCTGCGGCAGGATTGTCAGTACAGAGATATCGATGCTGCCGAATACGACCAGAATTGCTGTCTGTGTGTCCACAATACTGGCACACAAACAGCGTGTTCGACACTACGTCAGGGGTCCAATACTCTCCCTTGAAAAAGAGGTAACAATGAAGCCTGTAGTTAGCTGTAGTGTAGGCTACTCCACTGTGAAAAATATCTCCACGAAATATAACAGCGTAGCCGCGAGGTATATCCAATATCACTTCTTTTTGTACGCTTGGATATTCGAAACAACCCGTAAAAACACGAAGTTTCGTGTCATTCTCCAAAGATACAATGACACTTGCAGGTATCGAACCTGGAAATTTTCCACCACATTTATCTCGTACTTTTGCCGTGTATTCTTAATGGGGCTCTTGAGCTTCTCCACCTGGCCAAGAATGCATGAAAGAAAATACTGTAGGTGTATACTTCTCGTCTCTAATACACGCGTCCTCCTTAATAGCTTTTTGGACAAGTTTTAGTGTCGAACTCACTCGAACAACGCGCGACTGGCTTCGAAAAGGGTCATCATCAGCTCCGCCGACCTCTCGAAAAACTGGTGTGTATGTGCGTGATCGTGCTTCGCTAAGCAACGCGTCGATCGTAGATGTCTCTAGTTGTAAGGATACTATAGCAAACCCGGAAGATGGAAACGAGGGGCGCATGGTGGAGGAAGCCGAAATTGAAAACTATATTTGCAGTTGCTCTCGTCGGCAACGCCAAAATTTCGATTTGCCGTTGCCGACGGTTCGTTCTATTTTTTGCAACAAGTAGCTTTTTTTGTGAGGGCCCTCCCAGCCCAACACACCTTCGAACCAACGCCGTTGCCACAAGCACGATCTCATAGCAGCAGCCATCGCGTTGAAGAAGAGACTGCGAGACCAAGCTGC